ACATCAGTAACAGTTGTCAGGAGGGGACTGCACATGACTCTATGCCAGTCTCTGATCGACACTGCACTCCTGTACGAGTTCGAATGTTCGGAAGAATGAAAGAGTGATTCCGGTTTTTCGTCGCGTTCTTCTACCACAAAAGTTCGTCAATGCGTGCTCTAAAGTCTTCCGCGTATGCATGTACTCAGTTTAAACGATATATGCCCGTGTAACTGTTGAAGAGAGAGAGAGTTGTTAACTGGGTTCTGGTCATGTTGTTAGGGTCTGGTGTACTCTCGCACCATCCCGTTGCTTTATTGTCAATCTTCTGCCAAGGAGGTCTGGTCCTTGGAGCTGGAGGAACTGCCTGGATTTGAAGTCGAAACTGACAGTGATGGTTTGATCAGCTTTAGTGTTTATGTTAGTCCAGAGTCTCAGAATGAATGCCTCGGCAGATGAAGACTTTTGATTTTCGCAAAAATATGATAACTTCGACCTTATTCATATTTTTTCCTGAATTCAGTTTGTTATTTGTAGAAAATTTGAAAAAAGCGATAACTGGGAAAAACGACAATTGGAAAAGGTTCTTCCATGCTTCATTGAATAATAGACTATCAAAAAGATAGCCTGCTTTGATTTGTTAACCTCCCTCCCTCCCTTCCTCCCTCCCTTCCCCCTCCCCCCTCCCTCCACCAGGACACGGAAATAGAAGCAAACCCCAGTGTAACGTGAAGGGCCGTGTGCTAAATTCCAGGAAGGCCAAATATTTCAGTGCCCTAACCCAAACCGGAGCCTTAACCCAAACTGCCCTGCACTGTAGTACAAAGCCACCTATATTACGGGCACATCCGGTTTCTATGTCCTTCTGTGGAGGGACAATGTGGCCTGCGGCAATCACAATTGGGTCAACTGGATTAAGCAAATCCGCCAGCCCCCTCCCCCCTAACAATCCCTACAGTGTTAGCTTACCGCTACGACTTCAATCCACTCTCAGCTAGCATCCAGTGTGAACATTCCGTCGTTGCTCACTCTTCCCTACATAATGGATGACCTTAGTGAACCGAGTCCAACCACTTTCATCACCTCGAGGGTTGTAACTGTCGGCATTTCTGTCTAATCTTTGGGACCGCAAAGGAGTCCAACAGCAAACAGTGCAAAGTAGCAGTGGTTAAACGGCTTTTATGTCTCCTCATAGCTCATTAGTCGTTGACGTCATTGACTCGGAATGTGCTTGCCGGTACGCTTGTAAATCCTTGCGTGGTCTTTAAGCTTCGCAGAAAGAGCATCAATAATTTAAAGTTTATTACCTTGTTTTTACCTATAAAGGAGCAATCTAATGTGCTTGTAAGAGGCATTCACTGTAAAAAGTGTTATTCTCTAAGGCTTTGAATAAGACTTATAGCAACCTAGAGAACGTTGCCGTATACCGTCCGACTTAAAGCTACCCGAACTTAGATTAACATCTCGTGTTTCGGTTGCGTTATGACTGATGGCGAGGAAGAAGCCGTTAGTACAAGCCGAGAAAAGAAAGCCGTTCGATCGTCGGAACCATTCCTTCATTAATTTGAGCTGTGGAGATTGTACGGGAGTCTATCGTATATCGGGAGTAGGAGGCAATCAGGAACTCGAAAAGCCTTCTTACAGTATGAACTTTCCATAATTGCTTACTCCAACTTATTCCGCGACAGTTTCTCAGCTGCTACTTGTCGCTGCATAAGAAAGATAACGCGGACACATAGAACAGTTGCGAATTTCACAAAAATTTACTGGAAACAGCAAGGAACGTGGGTCGGTTTAAAAAATAATCGATAATGGACAGCGTGACGACATTTCCAATACAATCAAGCGACGGTTACGCTGTACTATAGAAAGGCCCTACAACGCTGCAAAACTAATCTTCTGAACTTCAACTAAAAGCATTCCAGTAAAAT